AAAGTCTAAAAAAAAAAAAAGGAACAGCCAGTCGATCTTCGAGCATACAACCCGAAGGATCTCCAAAGAAGCCAGGGGGCTAATCATTATCTCGACGGAGCGAGTTGTATTTGCGAAGACGAGGTCGGCTCAGTTAGGGATAGTTTAGTTTAATCAGTCGATCTTCGAGCATACAACCCGGAGGATCTCTAAAGAAGCCAGGGGGCTAATCATTATCTAGACGGAGCGAGTTGTATTTGCGAAGACGAGGTCGGCTCAGTTAGGGATAGTTTAGTTTAATTAGTTGTGATCTGCGAGCTAACTGGTTAGCATCCTCGAAGTGATTCAGTAGTGTGTTAATCAGGCTATGGCGAAGACCAGGCCATTAAGTAATTATTCTATTCTGGGGATCAAGTTCTATAGTTAATTGTCAAGTCATTATTAGTAGAGTCTTTGGAAATAAATCTGTTAATTGTTGGTTAATTGTGTTTGTGCCGTGCCAATAATTTCAACAACCTAGCCTCTTCCTCTCACTTAGTAATAATTAGTTGATTAAATTATATTCTGTGACCGAATATCAGTTCTGGATACCCACTCCCTGAGTGTGAGCTAGCCTTAGTAACTCGGTTCCAGGAGGCCGAGTGAACTCAACATCAATTAACTCTCCTGGTGGCGTCCAGAACATCTCTGGCGCGAAATAGGATATCTTAGTCAGGAGGTCACAAAACCTGCTAAGGTATTACTGTTTTAACGGATTAATTTATTTCTTGAACTGATTGAAAGGATAAATAATTTGATTTTGAATTCCCCAATAAGAACATAACTTCATGAACTTATTGCTTGACATTTCAATAACGGTTGTAAAATTATTTTTTAGCCTGTTCCCGTGATGATAATTTTCATGATGAATAAGTCGGAAGATTGTTAGAACAAAGTTTTTGCATTTATTAAAAATAAATTTCCAGCTTTTAATCCGCTTTCTTATATGAGCGATTATGAAATTGGTTTGCATAATTCATTGGAATTGAATTTCCCTACGATTCTCCCAAGAAGATGTTACTTTCATTACACCCAAGTAAGTTTCATGTTTATATTTGCTAATATTATTAATTATAATTACAAACACCGGCACACAAAAAAAATTAAGTAGAATGTGCATGTGACCGGATCTACCTACGGGTACGTATTTTGGTCCGCTGAATCCGAATTCGAGGTCAGTTTGACCCCTACACCCCCAAAATTTCGAGAAAACTTCGAAAAACCGTAGAAATGATGAAAATCGGCAGTTTTAATGATAAAAAAATTTTTTTGGAACTAAACTAAGCGTGATTTTCATGTATTTCGATCCGCTGAATATAAATCGAAACTTTATTGAGACCAAGAGCCATTTCAAATGTAAAAAAATCACACAAACCCTCTAAAATTCTGAAAAAATATAGTTTTCATGATAAAAAAACTTTTTCTGGTCCAATTCAGATAAAATTTTATATCTTTTCATGTCTTCAATTCGCATCTTAATTGATTTAGTCTATTCACCCTCTAAAGCTGGAAAAATTCGAAAAAATTGTAAAAATTACCATTCATAACAGAAAAAAAATTGATTGAACATGATTTAATGCCTAAAATAAATACTCTATAATGTAGATATATCTAATAACTAGAAATCTGTGAAATACACAAGACAAAAAGATAGAAAGAAATATTATTTTGTTAATTTGAGACCCTAAGTAAATATAGAAAGAAATGATTTTTACGAATCCTAAACTTTCCTTCGTTTGTATCGCTCTCTTTTATCCTCAAATGATCTTCGTAGTGGATTCCTCTTTCGTTTACGATTTTCTTCGGGTACTTCTCTTTTTAACATCCAACAAAAATCTGCCATCATGTTAACACTCCAATTTCCTTGGTATCTATTCTCCATTTCACTGATGTCTTAGTGAAAACGTTCTCCCTGTTCTTCACTATAGTCTCCACAATTGTCAGGGAAGTGGTCAAGATGAGAATCTAAAAAGTGTAATTTGAGATTCATTAAACAACCCAAATTTTTGTAGTTTTCCAGCAATGCGTCAACTAAAGTGCTGTAATCCTCACTTCTGTTATTTCCCAAAAAGTTTTGTGAAACATTTTTGAAGCTTACCCAAGCTGCTTTTTCTGTGTCGTTCATTGTTTCTTCAAAATTTGCATCCTGAAATAAAGATCGTATTTGGGGTCCATCAAAAATTCCCTCTTTCAATTTCGCATCACTTATTGCAGGGAACTTTTCTGTCAAGTATGCAAAACAATCACCATCTTTATTCAGAGCTTTCACGTACTGTTTTATGAGTCCCAACTTGATATGTAGTGGTGGCAGCAAATATTTGGAAGGCTGAATTAAGGGTGGTCGTATAACTTTATGGGAACCTGGATTCAATGCAGATCTTGATGGCCAATCTTTCTTGAAATAGTGATTTTTCCGGTCTCTGCTATCAAACAAACATAAATAGCAAGGATATTTGGTGAATTCCGATTGCTGACCTAAAAGAAGTGTTGCCATTTTGAGATCTCCACAAATTTTCCCGTTATGCTCTGAATATTTTATTTTTCCCAATACAATCTGTAAATTTTCATAAGTTTCTTTCAGTTTTGTCGAATGAGCTATTGGAATCGGCGCAAATTCATTCCCAATATGAAGCAAAACAGCTTTAAGACCAGTGTTGCCAGGTTGGGGGATTTTCCCCTAAACTTAGTGGAATTTAGACGGCCTGGTAGAAAATCTAGGGGAAGCATTTTTCTAGCATTTTTCTACTCAAATATTAATGAGTATGATCACATGCTTAATTTTAATTACAAAAGATATTTTTTTTTATGTAAAAAATACATAAAGTAAATAAACAATCCGAACAAAAACAGTTTCACTGTAAAAAAATCGCGCCAAGTCCACGTTCATAAGACTATTAAGAAAAAAAAATTGTTTTTTTCTTTACAAAAAGATATAAAATAAAAAAATTAAAAAATCCAAGTAACCGATATGATTGTTTATGATTTTCGGAAATTAAAAAAAAATTTTTTGTAAATTTAAAAATTAAAAAAACAATTTTGGAACGTACTTGGTATGCGTCATATTGTGTATTTCAATTTTTTTAAAGTCCTAGTAAATAGATTTTACGAATTTAGTTAAAAGTAAAATATTTTGCAACCGCGCACACCAAGTACGTTCCAAAATTTTTTTTTTATTTTTAAATTTACAACAAAATTTTTTTTAATTTCCGAAATTCATAAACAATTATATCGGTTACTTGGATTTTTTAATTTTTTTAATTTTTTTATTCTATCTCTTTTTGTAAAGAAAAAACTAATTTTTTTTTCCTTAATAGTCTTATGAACGTGGACTTGGCGCGATTTTTTTTATAGTGAATCTGTTTTTGTTCGGATTTTAGTATTTTTTGTAATTAAAATAAAAAATTATAATTGGTACCAACTTAAATCTCGCGTTGGCTGCATTTTTTATTGGCCAGGTGCACGATGGTACTGCCCTCATTTTTCATGCTTTTTCTGTGTTAAATCAAACGGAGTAATTTAGTTCCAGTGGTCGCCATTAGCGTTAAATCATGCTCTTCTCATAAGATTTACACGTAAAAGTGGTAGTCAGCGCCAGCCCTTCCCACCATATACTTCGCACCCTGCCAATAGCAAACTATCCCCTTAAAGCTACAGTTTATGAGTTTATGTAAAAATAATTCCAGCGCACCCTTGCGGGTGTAGATGCAAGCTGTGAAATATCTTTTTTTAACTGTAGTTTCTCATCTAATGAAGGATTACTATGCATTCTCGAATTATTTAGTCTGTGGCAGATCACTTTCCCCATCGAAAAAAAGTCAGGATCGAAATTTTTGCGTTGCTATAGTTTGTGCTGATTAAATTTAATAATTTCAAGTAGATTAATTGTTATAAGTGAATATAATTAATTGATAACAGTAAAATAAAGTATGAATTACTGTTATAATATACAATTTAGGAAAAAAAAAATACTGTAGAATTAAATAAAATTTTGCAACCTCAAAATACCGTTCTGCTTACAGTAAACACAGTCGGTAGTCTGGCGCTCCGTTTAGAACGGATTTGAACGGAACTTGGCGCCAGATTCTACCGAATCTGTGGATGATAGATTTTATCTTTTAAGCAGCATCCTCATCTGAAACTAAAAATATATTAATTAATATAATTTTTGCAAAGATTAAGGAGAGGAAAATTATTTTTTGAATTAAGATACTATTTTTTTCCTTACTGAGTGAAGTTTCTCCAAATGCCTCATCATCATTTCCTCCATCATCTGGCTGCATAACTTGATCCGCTGGTCGATAAATTTTCAATTTGACAAACACAACTTCTCTTGCTGAATTAAAAGAAAAATTTTTATTGAACTGTCAGTTTTATTTATACAGAATTGAATAATTTCAATTAAAATTTTATATATTTACTTACAACGAGTGTCTACAAAAAGACATAACCCATCGCACGAGGTAATAATGTGACGATCAGGCGTCAAGACCGGCTTGAAATTTTGCAGATAACTCATAATTTTATTTTAATTTTCACTTAGTAAAAATTAAAAAAACAATTATTTATTTATAATAAATAATTTCTGATATTAATTAAAATAATATATTATAGTAATATATACATATACATATGTGTACGTACAGAAGTAAGAGCAAGTCAAACAATATAGAATCGTTAGCAGTGCAATCTATTGTAAAAATCATAAATTAATTTTACAAAATAATTATTACGTCAAATATGGTAATCGATATGCCATCTAGCGAAATATTTACATATTGACATGTAAATATCAATAATGATTAAAAAAAAATCAAAATGCGTTTATTCTTGGTTAGGTTAATGACAGACTGATTATATTTACATTTAGAACTGTTTCACTTTGAAAACATGGACACCTTATGTCATTTATATTTAATTACTATTTGGACATTATAGAACTCTAATATATTTATATATTATTCTGGTTAAGAATTTTTAAGAAAATGACAAAAGAAAAAAATAAAAATCAATATGTACAAAAGTACAGAAAAGAGTGGGAACTTGACGTAAACTTCAAAGGTAAATATATAAAATTCTAATATGAACATTCTTTGCACCAAGAAAAATAACATCAATAAGAATTCATCAATCAACAATCATAATTACATAAATAATTTATTTTTAATATTAATTTGCTCCATTTAATATAATTTCTTTTTCAGGTTGGCTTTCAGAAGTACCCGGTGATTCTCAAGCAGCCCACTGTAAATTATGTAAAAGTAATCTTAAAGCTCATAAAAAAAATTTAAATGATCATCTTAATTCTACAAAACACAAGGAAGCAATAAAACGAGATAAAACTATAGTACATAACCAAAAAATAGATACTTTTATTAAACCTACAATTTTAGAAGAACGCAAAATCGTAGAATTACGAATTGCTGTATTTATTGCAAAAAATTGTTCAATCCGTGCCGTTGTTGAATTGAGTGTATTAATCAAAAGCTTGGATAAATCGAGTAAAATTTTGAATGAGATCAAATTGCATCGCACAAAATGTACATCACTCGTACTCAACGTCATCGCACCTTGTATGCTTCAAGAATTAATTGAAGATATTGGTGATTCATATTATTCTGCAGTAATAGATGAGTCAACAGCCATTGATAAAAAAAAAAAATTATGTGTATCATGATCCGCTATTTCAGTAAAAGTAAACAGAAAGTTATTACTTCTTTCTATAAATTAGTATGAGTTGAATTTGGCGAAGCTACAGCTTTATATGATGCATTTACTAATAATATTAAAGATAGTGGATTGAATTTAAATAACCTTATTGGCATTGGTGTTGACGGAGTTAATGCTATGGTTGGAGCACACAATTCTCTCGCTTCTCGTTTAACTGCTCTCATTCCCCATTTAGTCGTTGTAAAGTGTGTTTGCCACTCTTTACATCTTGCAGCTGAAGAAGCCTTTAAATGTCTACCTAAGCATATAGATTTTTTAATTAAAGAGTGTTACAATTGGTTTTCCATGAGCAGTAAGAGATAAATTGAATATCAAAAGTTGTATCAGTCAATGACTGAAAATACAAAAGAACCGACTAAAATTGCTAGACTCTCAGGAACAAGGTGGTTAGCTCGTATATCTGCTATTTCTACAATGTTGGATCAATGGGAACCACTTAAGCAACATTTCCAAATAGCTAAAGAAAAAGAAAGATGTTACACGGCCGAGCAGTTACACAGTATGTTTGAAGATGATAAAAATTTAATTTATTTAACATTTTTGAAAACATATTTAAAAAAAGTTACCAGCTTAAATGAACTGTTTCAAAAAGACCAAGTTGAATGTTTAAAACTGTTTGAAGATTTGAATGATCTATTGTACGACATTTTGCAAGTAATTGTGGTTCCACAACAACTAGCAAAAATGAACAGAAAAGACCTTTCAGGTTATAACTTTCAAGCTTACATTATGGCTGTTAATCATATGAATTTTGGATATGCAGTAACGAAAGCATGTGATGATGCTTATATTAAAGCTACAAAAGATTTAACAGATAGGCAGCAGAAAAATTTAGTTTCGCAAAAATTTTATAATGACATACATGGAATAAAAGAAAGATTCAAACTTTTTTTAGTAACCTTGGGCTGCGAACTACAAAAAAGGGTGCCTAAAAATATCGATATCTTAAAAACTATGAGTTTATTCTCAATACAAGATATGAACTTGACTTTTCCGAAAGATATCTCAGGAATTGTATCAACTTTTGAAAATATTTCTGGAGGTACTGTTGATGACATCGTAAGTGAATGGAACCTTGTTCATAAGATTCAAATAGAAGCAACAACTACCGATGAATTTTGGTCTCGAGTTAGCCAGATGACAACAGCAAGCGGAAAAAAAAGATTCGGTCATATTTCTAAACTTGCTACCTCATTATTAAGTTTGCCATTTTCAAATAGAAGTGTAGAGAGATCATTTTCTATTATGAATATTGTTAAGAATAAACTTCGCAATCAAATGTCGGTAAAGACTGCTGAAGCCATTCTGCGAGTGAAAGACAATTTTCCAAATTCTGCATTATTTACACCAATGAAAGAAATGTTAAAAAAATTTTGCAGTTCAGAAATGTACAATAGCGAAGTCGATGAGTCTGTGATAAATACATTATCGGAGTTTTAATATTTTAAGTGTTTGACAATTTATAAATTGTAATTGAATTTATTATTTATATTATTACATTAATTTATTATATTTTCTTTAAGAAATATTTTTAATTTATTTTATTATCAGTTTAACTGAAAAATGTTTTTTTTTTAAGTTTTAAATTATAAATAAATAAAATTTTAATGTATTTTAAATTATAATAAAATATTATTTCATATTAAACATAAAGTGTATTAATAATAAGATCTTTGACAATTTAAAAAAAAATGATAATTACAATAATTAAGAAAAAATTGATAATTTAAAAGTTAGGGGATTTTTTTTAATCTAGGGGATTTTGAGTGGCGCTTTAGGGGGAATGGATTGAGTTCATCTGGTAACACTGTTTAAGACTTCGTTTCGATGAATCGATAAAAAGTCTCCACTTATCGTCCTTATACGTGTTCGGTTTCAATTCATCAACTAAAGCTTTAACATCTGAACAGTATACCACCGAATTTTGATCGTCGTTCATAAAAAATTTCCGGAATTTTTTTTCCCTATTTCGATAGAATGTCACTGATACACCTTTAGCCAACAAATGCTTTTCTTTCAACCTTGACGCAAGTAATTCAGCTCCATCTTTCGGTAAAGCCAAGTCTCGAACCAGATCATTAAGTTCTTCTCGGCTAAACGTTTCAGGGTCTTTTGTTTTTCCGCCAGGTAAGTACTCTTCATCTTCTGAATGTTCTTCTTCCGAACTTTCTTCAACTAGCGTATCGTCTTCTTCTACATCCATTTCTTTGACCGTATTAACTTCCTTGACAAATTCTATTTTTTGTGGCTTAATTAATAGCTGATGAAACATGAGCGTATACAATTTTCTTTTTTGTATTCCAGGTGAACTCGGAAGTATCAATCAAATAACAATTCTGTAAACCAGTTGGTGAAGACATATCATTGGTATTGTGAATTTCAAGTTTTCCTGTTTTTTGTTTTTTTCCCACCGGATTAACATCATGTTACATCGACTACAAATCGTATGTGGAACCCATGCTTAATCCAAATTAGTAATTTGGAGACCAAAAAATTCTTCATAAATTTGTTTGATCTTATCAGATAACGATCTTTGATTCCTTTCCAAATTGTATTCTCCACAAATGTAACAAAATGAATCAGGACTTTTATTACACAGATGAGAATTACTTCTTGTAATAGTATACTCTCCAGTAGCCAAGTTTCCCACTTCTGAAGAGCTGCAGTCGCTTAATGACGACGCCTGCGAGCCTGCTTTCTCACCATTACCAGACGCCGATACTGGGGCTCCGACTCCCTGCATCGTAAAGTACTTATCACTTGTACCTGCCATGACGGCACACACGCCGTTAACCCAGGGACTCTGCCAGATGGTTCTGTTGCCCACCGTCACCACGTGCCCGCGTGGAGAAATATATATGTCAAAAATATATGTCGCATATATAATATATATGCCGCATATATTTACGCAAAAAAAAAATATGTCAACATATATTTACGCAAAAAAAATATGTCAACATATATTTTTCACATAGATCCTGACATATATGCTTACATATATGTAGACATATATGTAAGCATACACTGAAAAAAAATTATTAAATTTGAGAATTTTTTTACTCAAATCAAGAAAGTTAAATTTTGAAAAATTTAACTTTCACGATTCAAGTTAAGTTTTTTTCCGTGTATCTCTAGACACTTATATGCGCACATATATGTAAACATATATGCACGCATATATGTGAACATATATCTACGCATATATGTGAACATATATGAGTAGTATAGCTGGGAGCGTTCTAGATATAGGCAATGTAGGGATCTGCATTACCGACAGAGTGGTTTGTGTCCGTGCTAAATTATCGATCATTTTGTCAATCCTTTTTTATCATTTGACCATATTTTCAACCCTTTTTATCGACTATTTGAATTTTAATTTCCGCCATTTTCCCGCCCCTTTTTGATCCACCGTTTGGTGGGTACTATTTTGAATTTCCACCATTTTCCCACCCCCTTTCTGATCAGCCACGTGGTAGCCGCCATTTTGACTACGTCACCCCTTTTGGCCCGCCATCTGGCAGCCGCCATTTTGACTATCTCTACAACCCTTTCACCGTCATCTCCCGCGATTTTACCGCCATTTTGTCCCGCTATTTCGTCAACCTTTATGTAAACAAGTCCTAACTTGTTAGAGACGTCATTTTCTGATGAAATTTTTTTTCTGATGCAATCATTTGAGTGCAATTTACCCCCACTTTTTCATCTTTATGGTGGTGGTGGAGATTAACGATATAAAATCAGCTCACAACCATGACACCGTTATTATGTTTTCGGTTGTGAACTTGAGCACTTAAGTTGAGAAGATGGAGATTTTCATTGATTTTGAAGGCTTCTACACGCTTGATGGATCTTTTATTGTCAAAGAGCTTGCTGTTATCTCACTTAGCGATGAAGTGGATTTTTTAAGTACTGCTGCGGTAGCAACTTTCGAACGACCAGCTGAGTACACCAATGAATTTATGGTCTTGGAGACCAAAGACTTTTTGTTGAGAAGCCATGGCATCAGATGGGATGAAGGATCATTCTTCTATAACGAACTCGAAGAAGTGTTGCGAGAGACTCTCAAACACAAAACATACGTTTATGTTTTGGGTGAAGAAAAAAAACATTGGCTTGAAAAAGAAATTAATTTTTCAGCTGAAGTAACTGATTTATCAAAGATGAGATTTATCAACCATCTTAAAGACTTTGATCCCATCCAGCCATGTCTCCTGAGGAAAAATCACTCAAAGAAAAGCAATTATGCTTGTGCCTACGAAACAGTTCAGAGAATGAAACGTTGGTTTCTCAGCTGTTGGGGTTTAAGTCCATCGCTGGAAAAGTCACTACAGCTTTTTTATCAGTTCCAGTCTTTAGCCAAGATGGATCCACAAGATATTGCCTGTTTGGATAAATCTTATATACTTCAATTTACAAAACATGAAATAAATGCTGTATGGTCAAAGCTACCTCACCACATGAAGATAGACTCAAGATTTATCGATTACACAAGATGTGTTTAACCGCTAGAAAAGAGATCTAGTCAAATACTTATAAGAGAAATTACGCCTTCGGGCTTAATCGTTGAAACGTGGCTGGTCTCGACTGTTCGTAGAGACAACAAATTTTTACTTCACAAAATAAATTACTTAAATTTATTTAAATTATTAATTAAGTATGAAATAAATTATCTAAATTTTAGTTAAATAAACTCTACGAACTGGGCCGAAAAGACACGCCCGTTACACCTAGAGTGTAACCAACTCGAAGCCGTGGCTTATAAGAGTCGATGCTGCTCCAGATGCCTGTAGCTTTAGATTTTACGGCGGACCAAGCCGATAGCTTTCAAAGCTACAAATAGCTAAATTGATTTAATTCGCGTAAAGAATATGGTCCAGGGCAAATCGTGGGTGGCGATACTCGTTGAAAAGTGGGTTCAGCTCTGACACAAAACCAACCTTTACCGCGTACTGCTCCGCTGATCGCTTAGTTAGAAAAATAGAGCTAAATGGTCGACAAATACAAATATTGAAAAAATACAGCTCAAAGTAAGTTCAATACCGCGTCCAATTCTTACCAATATACCACCTGACTTACAACAGGTACTACTACCACTTCGGTGTGCTTTAACGTTGTCCAGCGGTGGTAGATTCCTCGTGGCTGCAGCTGGGCCGGTTACTGGATCAGGAACAGACGAATAATCGAGGTGACCATCAACCAAGATCTTCCTCGAACAATGGAACGACGCTTTCCTCAACAAAATGGCTGACTACTCGAGACCTCTTGAGTACACGACATGCCAAGCGAATTTATCTTGTATGTGCGTCGTATTATTTAATTAATGTACGATATACTCCTTGTTAACTGATAATCAGAGTCGTATCGTACTATTATGGATTAAAATGCCGTTATTATTTAATAAACGGTGTAGTATAATAAAATACCGAACATTACGTTGTAACACGGTAAAAATAATTACTTATATTTCAAGAAATATATCAATTACAGAAGTATAAATTATGGGGGTTGAACAAAGACTGGTTGCACGCGGCTTCCGCGTACATTTTTTAGCATTGAGAAGTGGGGAGACGTGTAGCGCCACTCTCAAATGATTTTCGTACTATTAGCAATTACAAACGTTTAGTATCAGGTGGTAAATTGGCATTTACCCAATGTGAGCCAACTGGCCACGTTGCATCGTTAAAACTCGGGAATAATCGTATCACGCTATGGCCGTCGCGCATGCGCGCCTTGGTTAGTGGTAGAAAAGCCGGCTCGCGTGGTCTGCTGCAACAGTTGTGCTTGGACTTTGTACTAGTACGACTACTCTGTGCTAATCAATTCTGACAATTCTTACTTGCATCTCACATTCATTCAAATATTTTAATTATTCATTAAATATAAATAATTATAGTAGATTCAATTATACTTTGAATTCTCAATTCATTTAAATCAGTTTAATAGTTCAGTGAATTAACATAAATAAATAAAATCAAGTAAATTTATTTAGTGACGCCACGCGGCCATTACGCGCCACCGTTAACAAAGGATTGCATCAGCCACGCGGCTTTAGTCAATCCATAATTGACGCGTGATATTAACAATTAATTACATTAAATCAATTATTAACATTTAATTACGATCTTATTTAATTTAACTTATAAATAATTAAATTCCAATTTCAAATCATTTGACTAATTTCTACACGATAAACATCAAACTCAATTGACTAACATTCTGTTATCAATTATCTGGTAACAGTGGATACTCATACAATTCCCAAGTCCGAAAACTGATTGGGATAGCTGGATCAGAGGTTACATAATTCAACACTTCAATTTTTTGTTTATCAGACATTGTTATATATGGTACAATCCACTCAATTTTTTGAATCGTAATTGAAACATCTTCTTCTCCAGCGGTAACAGCATACGCATTTTGATCAGTATTTGATCTGATCAATATCAATTCATGTTTGGCATTCACAATAACTCGTTGATTCACAAAACAGCTGATAACTCAGTTATTTGATAATATTGAAGTACTTACACGTGAATCTGGATAAGTTGTCATATGTTAAT